GCCTAGAGACATGTGAAGAAACTGCGCTTGTCTTTTGGTCCTGGACTGGGTGACACATATGTGGGTGAGACCTGTGGGGAGGTGACAATGGCAGCTTTTATCTTGATGTTGATTTTGCTCTTTTCCTTCCGGGCTTGTCCGGTTGTTTGTGACCCTTTGCTGTGGGTCCCCACTGGAAGATGCTTTAGACTTGTAGCAGGCTTTGGGGCCTTGTTCTGGGCCGATCCCACATGGATGGACTTTTACCCACGAGGGGACGGGTAACTTTGGGTGCTTCATTTAGAAACTAGACTCTTTGCCTTTCCTGTCTTGTTTCCTAGTTTTATTAAAGATCCTTCCCATTAGTCTCATGTGTTTTGTGTTGATGCGGCGGATGGCCGAACCCATTTAGAATAGGCAGGTTTGCGGGGCTTGGGCTGCCCCTCTCCCTGTCCTATAACAAATGCACCTCTGAGAAGCCAGGGTGAGTTAAAGTTTCTGGGAAGCCATGTAGTCAATAATTCTGTGTAGTGTTATTTGAATCTATTGTCCCCCAAACTTACTTGGCCATAGACCCTGATGGAGGTCAGGAATAGAAAAATTGAAAAGTAGGTGCACACAACATCAGAAACCCGGCTCACAAAATGCCAAGATCCAGGGGTGGGGGTAGAAGGGATTAGCATATCCATTTCACAGCTATGGAAACCAAGATCCTTAGGCACCAACACCTAGATTACAAAGCATAAGATCCAAGCAGGTATCAGACTGCTGTTGGGAATGTCTAGTGCACAGGCCCAAGGGTAATGATATGGAGATTGAGCCCAACTGACCGCAGAGGTAAAGATATGGAGATTGAGCCCATTGTGGAATCTTCGGGCCCTTTCAGATTCTGCATAGTTATCCAAAATTAGCAACTAACCCGAAGGCTCTCAAGGAGTGACCCCTCCCAAATAGAAAAAGACTGTATCAGTTCAGTCTCTGCACAGGCTCATGGCAGCAACCCACTGCACACCTGTGACCATGCAGGTTCCTCTTTTCACCAACTCTCTCCCTCTGCAAGGCAGCAGCCTTCCTGCCTGCCCATGACCTGTGCCTGCTGGGGCTTCTCTTCACTGACCTCCCTCAGTGGAGGCAGCTCTCCTCAAGGCCGCCCACCTGCAACCATGCAGGCCTCTCCTAGCAAACCTGTCCCTTCTGGGGCTGCTCTTTCTGCCTGCTTGTGTCTATACAAGTGTCTTTTACCGTCCTATCCCTTTTCTAATAAACCTGCTCTTTAAAACTACTGTCTCTGTAGTAACCTGCTGCGTGCCACCGAAATGGGAGCTCTGGTGAAAACTTTCCCAGAGTGAACCCAAGGACCCAGCACTCCACCAAAACCCCATCAGAACCTGTTTGCCTTTTAGCAGCTATAAATAGGCATTCATTGCAGGCATAAATTTGGGGGAATCTTGAAGAATCTGTGTGTACTCTCTACAGAGCCATGAGAACTGGATCTCACAGGCTCAGGTGGTTATCAAACCACAAATGCAATGGGTAAAACCAGTTCTTCTAGAAAACTTGTCATGTACACAAATAAGTTCGGGACAGGTGGCAAATCTGCTGAATAGCATGCCTACAAATGCATGGTTTTGCTCATGGCAAGTGTGCCTATCACATAAAAGTTAACCCACGCAGTGAAAGAGCGCAGCTGTCATTTCTTCCAACAGCCCTTCACACAGAGGGCTGGTACTATCTCCCAGGAAGTGGGGTTTTGTTTGTAACAGGGACTCTGCTTTGAAGGCAACAGATTCTGCACTTAAGAATGCTTTTACCCACTTCCTCCAGGCTCAGGAAGAGCAGAGGAACAGAAAATTACAATGTTAAGCAAGAATATTTTTCAAATCTGCACTGGTTTTACGCCTTGCTATCCTTTCACAAAAACAGCAAAAGAATGTATTCTTCTGTTTGACTATCTGGGGCAGTTTATCCAAGTGCATACGTGGTTGATCATAAGCTGAGCTTCAGGAGAAATGGAAAGAAAATCAAACAAAAGAACTCACTCAGGTCACTGGTACATCCCGTTCTGCCTTGCCGCTATGACTTTAAGTATCATTAAGGTATTAGTGAGTGTTCTAATAATAGTCCTTGATAGACTTATTAAAGAGTGAATGGGAATTCCTCCATAGACATAGTCAACTTAGTATATAAAAGCAACTTAGGGAGCAGAGAGGATTCAAACATTCTATTGGCCAGGCAAAATAGGATATTAATGTGTAAGAATGCACCCAAGTAAGGAAAGTCAACACGGAAACTGCGTCATTTCACTTTTTAAAGCCTCTGAGACATCCCTGAACATGAAATACAAGATGTAGGTTTAAGTTTAGCAGAAATGATTATTTCTGAATAATACCATGTCCTTTTGTAAATAACATTCAAGAATTAATAAACTAACCGTTTTTTTATTATTATAAATTTTATTTTTATATTCCCCATACAATTGCGACCCCCTTATTTTGACCCCAATCCCTCCCCTCCCCGCCCCCCATCCACCATAGAGTGTCTCTGGTTCATAGTTGTTTGTTGATTTTGATTTTCACTTTCTTGTGGTTATTCATTTTCCTGGTCCCTTATTTAAGTTTTCTAGATTCCTGCTATGAGTGAGACCATCTGGTATTTTTCTTTTTCTTTCTGGCTTATTTCGCTGAGCATGATCCCTTCCAGCACCATCCACGTTGCTGCAAATTGCATGTATAAACTAACCCATTTTGAGAAGGGAAATAATATCAAACCACATAAGAATTTCACTTTGCAAAAGAAAACTTAACTGTTAACTGGGTTTGAGTAGTTCTTAGGAAAATGTTTTTCTCCTGTGTTTTCAAAAGCAGCAGTATTAAGAAAATCAGTTGGCCCAGCATCAGACCTGGATTTAATCTTGAGTTTTTTCCCACATAGTAGTAATAAAAAAAAATTCTAAGTTGTCATTTACTTTGGTGATTTTATTGAAATTTGGAGACTTGAAGGCTTCATAATTTGGTTTCATCAGCACACAGACCACAAATTCATTTCTCATGGGCAGACTCACTAAACCAAGCTCCTGAGACTGATGTTTAAAATCAGAATCCCAAAGGGATCTTTGTACACCTGTGTTCATAGCAGCATTATTCACAATAGCCAAAAGGAGGAAGCAACCCAAGTGTCCATTGACAGATGAATGGGTAAACAAAATGTGGTATATACATTTGAAGCAGTATGAAAAAGAATAAAATTCTGACATATACCACAACATGGATGACCTTGAGAAAATCACACTAAGTAAAATAGTCACAAAATGACAAATACTATACAATTCCTCCACTATGAGTAACTAGAGCTGTCAAATTCATGCAGACAGAAGTAGTATGGTAGTTGCCCATGACTGGGAGGAGGGGGAGTATTATTGTTGCTTAGTAGGTACAGAATTTCAGTTTTACAAAAGGAAAAGAGTTTCCTATATGGATACAACCAACTCTCTGTAACAGTTCTGTTTCTCTATTCAAATTAAAAGCAGGGGGCCTCCCTGGTGGCGCAGCAGTTGAGCGCTGGGTTGCGAAGCTGCCCGCAGCCTCTGCAGCCCGGTTCGATTCCCGGCTGCTCCCCGGCCACCGGAGGAGGGTCCCACATGGCGCGCAGACCTCTCCTGCCACCCGCTGCTCCCCTCAGCAGTGTACTTCGGTCCTTCTGCCTGCTCTGCTCCCCGCTCTGGCGAATTCTCTCACCCTCCCGCGCTTCTGACTGTACCCAGTGCTTGTATAAATAAATAAAAATAAATCCTAAAAAAAAAAAACAAATTAAAAGCAGGGATTCTGAATTTTAAAGACTGGTAAGAGACACATAATTTAAAACATACTATCTCAACCATTTTTAAGTGAACAGGTCAGGTCCCTCTGCCTAAGGTAACCCATATTTGAGTGAATCCCCTTCTTCATGCCCTATGATGTCACACACCTTGAAGTAGAGTTTGTAACAAAGCAAATCTGGTTCCACAATGCGGAGCACCAAGAAATGGATTGTTCTCAATGTCATGGGGGACTGAGGAAGATTAGGTTAGAAAGCTGCCAGCATTTCACTCAAAAAGCTCCCACTTAACCTCTCTTCTATTTTTTCCATCATTTCTAGCAAATTTCCTCTATCCTAGTACCTGCCTGTCTCATTGAGATACTGCAGTAGCGATGGGGAAACTCAGCAAATATTTTGAAGTTGAAGGTAACATCTTTCGGTGACTATATCAGAGACAAAGACATCAAAGATGACTCAATTTCCCAAAGGTCACTGCCCTCGATCGGGTTTTTACCATTTTAATTTTGACTTAGATTTTTATCTCACTCAACTAACTCTTGTCTCCCTACCCCTACTTTCTGTTTAAATGTATAAAACAGGTTGGAGCAAATCTGATTGTGTCCCTCTCCAGGTTACATTCATTCATTCAATGAATAAATAGAAATGATGGAACCAAGACTCAAAGTTAAAACTTCCCACCATATAGATAGTGTGTTTCTCAATATATCACAGCTAACAGATCATGGTTAATACATCATCTGACTAAATACGTCAAATGACAGATTGCCTGTTCTTAATCCAGCATGATGCAAAAATACTTAGGTGACATGGGATAAATGGGTGTGTAAACATGGACAGAAAAACTACTTACGCTTCCACTGATGTCTCAAAAGTTTAACAACTACATTTCATGCAAAACAGTTAAAAAAATTCAGTCCTAAAATTAACAAGATCAGTATCCTTTACTGGACTATAAAGCATACTTGAGAATATGCTGAAGGTATATGTTGTAATAATCATATTCATATATCTACCAACAAGTGCTCTTAATTCTTAATTAAGAGCTAATCCAATGAAAAATATTTTACATTATTTTCATCTTGCTATTTATAAGGGGGCCTAGAAAATAAAACGGTGCTTGACAAATCCGTCAGTGTGGTTTTTATATTCATCAGCAAAAGGTTCAACTGAAAAGAAGTTAAAAATTGGTAGCCAACAATGTATCTTCACAAATGTTTCTTAAGTTTATTGTCTGTAATCCTCTTAGAAAGATTTATCAATGAATCAATTCTAAGCAGCAACAATCCAATCCATGCAGATTTTTGTAAAAGTCTTTAACCAAGAGATTCTTCTCTTATTCGAGACAAAAACCAATCAGGCAAGAAAACTCTAGTAATGTGTTTATTGGAAATGAATAGACATTACATTTATCAGATGAAGATGTAACAATGCATAAAGCATAACTGGTGTTCCTTAAAAATCACAAATGAAAAAGAAATTCATTTTCAAAAGAAATAATGTCTTCAAGTCACCTTACTCTCTGAATTCCACATACTACTCCTCATGTTGACTTGGAACATCCAGAATAAAATTTACCTTAAACTGAACAGCAAGCTAAGTTTTGCCCCCAATTTGAAGACTGCTTGGCTACCACTTGTGTGGTAACACACACACATAATTACCTGCGCAGTAATTATACACATTGATTTTTGCCACCAGAGAGTAACAAGATGATATCATATTACTTGTAGGAAAAAATAAATCAGTTGGTGGCTCCAAATGTATGGGATACCTAGGATTGGCATTTCCTAGAAACTAGGAATTACATTAACTTTATTAATAAGACTTTATATTCTTTTAAGAAATTGCCTGGATTAGGACGCATGCTGACTCGTAACAGAGTCATTGCATTGCACTGAGTAACCGTGTAGAGGGGATTCGCAGATACTTACTGTCTGTCATCCAGGTTTCTATAGAGTTTTACTCTTCTAGCCTACAATGAATTTTAGCTTGTTATAATAAACTCCCTTTGAAGAAAATTATCCCAGATAAACCATCTGTGATAACATGAGTACTGCCAAAGCAGTGATAATAAATATTGTTTGGAAAGGCAAAAAATGCTGCACCAGCTTTCAGAGATACAATCATAGAACCATCTCTGAAATGGAGAATTGAGTGTGAACTTTGAAAATTCCTTCCCTTTCATACACCCAGCATGTACAAATGTCCTCTACGAAGCTGTCTGTAGGCTGAAAAAAGTAGGAGTCCAAATTCAGAATCGCAGGTTCTAGAAGGGCTTGGTGCAACTCTCCTTTCCCAATGGATTTCTAGTTTGTTCCTAAACATTTCACAGTTCTCATAAATTTTCACATGGGTTGACATACATTTTCTGTCAAACGGCAAGCAAAAAAAAAAAAAGAGTACTTAAGACAGCGTATCACCTTCAAAAAACCAATCATAATTTCATTGAAGGTAGCAAAAACTAAGTCAGATCTCCTACATTTGGGGGAAAGCGGCAAATCCTTGTTACCAAAAAATGGCACCAAGTAGAGTCTGCTCACAAATATGGGAGTAATTAAAAAGGTACAAGTTTGAACTAGACAATTCAGGATCTAAATTAAATTTTTGAGGCCTGATATTTTTAGTTTGAGTAATAAGGCTGGTCTAGTCTGCTAGAAAATTAGCAACATTCTCTTTCACCTTGAGCTGGGCGGGTAGTCAGACCTGCCGTCAGTCACGCATATCCAAAGCGGTGCCTAACCAGACTCATGATGCATATAGACACCAATGCTACTTGGCACAAAGCGGGTGGGAGAAGGAAACCCCTATTTTCCTGAAAAACCCAGAGGCCAGAGACTGGCAATCAGTCATTTTCCTCATGTGTCCAATGTCAGTAGGTTTTTCGATGGATGCGCATAGTTTCTCTCTCTCCACCAATGAGTGAAACATGCTGCTCTTTGGAGAAAAAAAAATACATTCATTTTTTTCAAGTATATTTCAATATACAAAGATGCTTTAGCTTTGTTTCACTACAAAGATAAAATGATTTCACATGTATCCCAGGAAAATTTCTCGTTAACTTCCCTTCATGGCATACATACTTCATGAAGTACTGATTAAAAAATGCTCTAAATATACATCTATTCCTTATCGGAAAGCATGAACTCTTCATGTCGTTTACATGTATGTACATAGTCAACTAACACCATCACCACAAAAACCAGTCTGCATAGGTGCAATGGCTTAGGATGGGCAGACTCTAAGGAGAGCGAGTCCACGTCAAAGACTCAGCTCAGCACCAGGCGAGGGTGTCTCTGTCAGCTCCGGGGGTCCAGGGCGGGGCCAGCAGGACGCAGACCCTTATTTGTGCAGTGTTCTAAAAGCACACTTCGCTGAGAGGGCACTTCTTGGGTTATGGCTTGTTTCCTGTCTTGGCTTTGTTGTTAGGATTGCAGTTGAGGTCTCTCAGCAGCGATTCACAATTGGCCAGAGCATCCGCTGGCAGCAGCTTCCGGATTTGCTCCACTGTCTTTTGATAAGCCATTTTCTCTTGTTCCAGGGTTCGAATTAAAGACTTCATTTTGGTCTCTCTGGTCAAAAGATTTTCCAGGTTTGATTCCAAGTTCTGGATTTTAGCATGAGCTATCTGTTTAGAGAAAGAAGACAAACTCTTCCAAATCAAAAAGTTCTTTATTAGACCAGCAGCCAAACCTTCCATATTTCAGGCCATCATCATATTGCTTAGTATAATGGTAAGGGAGGCAAACACTCTGAAGTGCTTCATGAACTAGAGATTTTTAGGTTTCTCAAAAATAGAAATATGGAATTAATAAAGTACATCTCATTTTACCGAATACACCAAAAATGTATTGTTAAGTCATCGTATCTGACTGGGGATCCCCGGTGGAAAATGGGAACTGGAGCCTCCCTGGTGGTGCAGGGGTTAAAGACACAGCACTACCAAGCTATCACCAGCCACTGCAGCGTGAATTCAATCCCTGGCCAGGGAGCTACCCACATGGTGCAGCAGACCTCCCCTGGCTCACCCGCTGCTCCCCTCAGCAGTGTATTTCAGTCAGTCCACCTGCTCTGTTCCCCACTGTGTCTCTGGTGAGTCCTCTCACCCCCCACACCTCTGGCCTGTACCCCAGCTCTTGTATGCATAAATAAAATAAATCTTTAAAAAAAAAGTCACCTTTCCTCTCCATTTCTTTGACTTTTACTCTAGACAATTTTATCATCCCCAATCAGTTTTCTGCAAATGATTTCTTGCTGTTCTCCCAAACTTCTCTCCCCATTCTAATTTGTCCTCAACATTTCCAGGTTGATTTTTTCTAAAGCACAGCTTAAAAACTTTGAAAGATTTCTCTTTTAATAGGATTAAGTCATCTCTTCTGTTTGATACTGAACATTATCTACCATGTTGCCTTCATCAGATTAATCCCATCTTCCCCCCAGCTTAAACCTTAAACTGATGCTAAGCTTACTCTGCAAGCCTGCCATGTCCTCTTTATTTCACTAACTCCCTGATTCCTCTCTCCTTTCTTTCAGCAACCCTTTAGAGTCCAGCTCACATCCCATTCAGCCCCTCCTCCCGTGAACTTAACTAATTTTGTGTAAGACCCAATAAGTACTTAACCAGATTCTGCCTTGCATTGCTATTTAACTACATTATGAATGCATACTACTCTTGCAAGTGATATTTAAATTCCTATGTGCCTGGGCAGCCCACAAAGTAGTCTGATACACAGGCTCTTTGTCAGCAGTGGTTTAATCCACATCACATCCCCCATCATTCCCCTGTGGGCCAGTTGCAGGCAGAAGGCATTCAAGTGCACTGCAAGCCAAATTTTTCTTTCTTTACCTGTAATTTTTCCAGGAGGTCCATGTTTTGTCTTTTCAAATGGCTATTGGCCCTCTCCAGTTTCTCCAAAGGTTCACTGTCCTCACAGGCATATGAAGATTCCTGAAGTTCATCTTGTAGAACATGATATTCCACCTCATAGGCATGTAACTGTTTAGAAATATCCATCTCAAACACCTGCCATGGAAGGCACCATATGTTAGTCTGCCTTTCAGTATATATATCAAGAGACCATGTGTGTCTGGTCAACTTCCTATAGATTTCCAAATAATTAGTAATGAGAAATTGGATGACACACCAGAAGGGAAGAATAATAGGTAGGACCATCAATATAAGGACAAATAGATTATTTCTACATAATTGAAACATCTCATGATGAGGCCAAGGCATCCAAATAAGGTAATGTTCATGGGTATTTTGCAAGCAAAATATACATGATCTAATAACTCTCCCAAAATGCAGTATACTAGATAAATAACATTAGTCATTAAGCAATTCATACCTGTGTTGGAGATAATCTTTGCTTATTAGTAAGCAAAATTGCTTAAGTTATTTCTACAAAGATAGGGCCAGAAGCACTTCTAATTACTTGTCAATGGGACAGAAGGGTCTTTTAATTAATGTTTACTTTATTTATAATATTTGTTAATCCATGGGAGTCTCTTAGGAGTCATTTACTCTACCACACAGAGAATATTCATAACCACATACCCTATGTTCTTACAGAGAGCTGTAAGGCTTAATTGGGGCTCCCATCATTGCATTTCACCATGAAATAGGAAGACATTTTGTTAGACATTTTGCATAACCCTTCTTTGTCTAAAGGGAGGCAGTGGCTGTCATTCAAGTAGTGGTATCAACACTAAAAACAACCTTTAGGGTGACAAGAAATATAACTTTCCTTTCTACTAGTTGAGATATTCAAATTTTATAGTAACTGTAAAATAAGTTAAATGAAATTTCTAGACAACCTGGTCATTCCTCTCAAATAAGCATCAATTTTTGATGGGTATGTCTATATAACTATCTAGTGAGTATGTGTACAAATGGACTATTATGCAACCATTAAAACTATGGCATGAATCTATATTTAATGGCATGGAAAATGTCTAATACTTTACATATATTAATAAAATGTCAGCTTATAAAATGGCATGCATAGCATGATTTCACTGATGTAAAATTATACATATGTGTATATGTGTGTATGTAAGCAGAGATGTGTAAAAGGAAGTTTAACAGGTTTTAAACCCCAAGGTGTTGAGGTTTGTAATTATTTTTATTTTCTTCTTTGTTTCTTTCTATATTATTTGCATTTTTTACAGTGACCATAAATAAACATCATCAATGTTTCCTCTAATATCAGCAGTTTATTTCATAGTTAATCACTTCTAATTGTTATAAAATTCTCTCTAATATCAAGGCCAAAACTAACAGCCTACAAATTCTATTCACTGATTCTAGCAATAATCTCAAAAGCCATGCAACTCCCTCATTTGTTTTAGAAGTGATCTGATTTCAAGTCAGATACTACCTCATTTTAAAAGCATAACTTCTGACTACCTGCCAGCCAATAAATATGCAAGTAAAATCTACATTTATCAGCTTACAGAACATTTTAATAATATAAACTACCATACATATTTACAAGGTATTATAGAATAATATGCTTGTGATTTAGATTCTATGTAATAAAATTTTATATGTGATCATGTATGTTCATGATACAGTGTGAACTGCAGTATACAAATTTTTCAACTTAATTGGCTGCATGTGCTCCTAAAAGCATTATGCAAAAATTAATAGGATCATTATTATTTCAGTTTTGTAAGGGAGGAAATTGAAACTCAGGTGTATTTTGCCCAAAATCACATAGTTAGTGTTCTGCAAGGAACCAGAACAAGATTTCAAACTCTCTTTCTCTTGTCTAAACTCTTTTATCTGCTATCCCAGGTGTCTCTGGGAACATGGCAAATTGTATCAATACTCCTAAAGCATGACTGCCTTATCCACTATCTATGTTAAGCTTGTACCTGTCATCTGATCAGCATCAATATATAGCTACCACTTACCTGGTCTCTATGAAGAGCCTGGGACTAGATGTTTGGTGAACTGACTACTCTCCATTTATTTCCCAGACCCATTCTCTGCCCTTATCCATTTTTCCCTACCTGGGAGGCACAGAAGTGTGCATTCTCCACACTTCCTTTCCTACTGCTTCTGGCTGGGGATGGCCAAAGGGAGGGCCCATTGGGAGGATTAGCTAATGTTCAAGGGTATTTTGCAACCAAAATATACATGATCTAATAACTCTCCCAAAATGCAGTGTACCAGGATTGCTAAAAAGGTCCTTATGCAGCACTGAACCACTTTTCCTATGCATGGGCCACAGATCATGACATCACAATATAGAAATTTCAGATAAAATGTATCTGATCAAAATTTCAAAACTAAAAAAAAAAACTGGACAAGCAAAAACACTTAGTATATAATTAATAGAGAAATTGCTAGATAACATTATATCTTCCTATTACCATAGAAATCATACCTGTGTGATAATTTTTTCCATTTCAGATGTATTCATATCAGGCAGTGTGTTTTTAAGAAATTCAACAATGTTTTCAAAGTTTTCACATTCCATAATGAGTGTCTCTTGGCTACTCAGTAGGCTGAGTGCAACCTTAAATATAACTTCAGTTCCCTGAAGGAAAATAATATCTGAAAAAAGAGAGAATATAATTTTCATGATCAAAATTATACATCTACTATTGTAAAAAGTATGCTTTTTGTGATAAGGGGTTTTTCTTGATGTGGATTTTCACTGTTGTTTTAAATTACTGCAGTGGGGGCCTCCCTGGTGGCGCAGCGGTTGAGCGCTGGGTTGTGAACCTGCCCGCAGCCTCTGCGACGCCGGTTCAATCCCCAGCTGCTCCCCGGCCACGGGAGGAGGGTCCCACATGGCGCGCAGACCTCTCCTGCCGCCCGCTGCTCCCCTCAGCAGTGTACTTCGGTCCTTCTGCCTGCTCTGCTCCCCGCTCTGGCTCTGGTGAATTCTCTCACCCTCCCGCGCTTCTGACTGTACCCAGTGCATGTATAAACAAAAAAACCAAACAAACAAACAAACAAATAAATAAATAAACATGCCTCTATAAAAAAAAAAAAAAATTACTGCAGTGGGAGCAGAATATTTTGCAAAAGGAAACTTGTCCAAACCATCCAGAGCTTAAATTAATACGACTGAAACAAATAAGCTGATGTTTGAATATTTCCCTTACCTACTTATGAATCTCAAATAAAGCCAGGGTAAAAAGGTAAAATTATATATCTGTATGTCTGTCATTATAATTTTAGTAGCAAATATAACAGAGGTTAGGTAAATCTCAAAGATATTCATTCAACTCATAGATTTTTCATCACAACGGGAACGCAAATCAACATAACCAATTAATATTATTTAAACAGTACTAAGTAGTACTAATTGCTTATGTTGATTTGCTTTTGTATTCCTATTATTACAATATTAAAAACACTAACTATTATTTATTGCTTATTATATTAACATGATTTATTATTTAATAAATATCATATCAATATGATATTATTTAATATTGTACTATTAAATAATATTGCCTACTATCACCATAATAAAAAGTACTGAACTATTTAACATGTAATTAAACCTGTATCAGAGAAGGAAATAAAAAACTTTAAAAGTCAAATCAATACATAATCTGAATCAGAAAAAAAAGAGAAAATAAAATACTTTTCTCTGAACTCTGTTTCCTAACAAATACAAACATGCAAGACTTTGAAAAGTACCAAATACTTTTGGGTGAAAGCGTCTCTCAATCTTTGTCATTTGGAAACCAGTAATAAAGTGTCTCATAAGAAGAGAGGAACTGTTACTTCAACATGTTATTCTTTTTGTTCATGCATTTTTCCCTTTCTTGACAGTCTCTAATCTTTACCAAATTCAAAAAAAAAGACAGAGCAACTATTGTTGAGCTGGTAGCATCATCCACCACTCATAACAAAAATGAGGCTCCTGGGGAGACTGGCTTTTGAGCTCTGATATAAAGTTTCCAAGGGCAGATCAAACAGCAATGTCCTGAAACACCATTTCAATTTGATAGACTATTCTTTGAGAAAGAAAAGCAAAGCACTGGTAATAAACAAAAAATAAATGAAAGAATTTATAGAAGACCCATTAATAGGGACCAGCTCCAGAGAGAACTTCACTGAAGAAAAGCCATCATCAATATTCAAAAGGCAAGAGAAAGCTGGTGTACGTTTGATTCGTGCATCCTGGTTTTGCTCTTGGGCTGCATTTTGTCTGCTGATGCTATTATTGCTAATATAGTGTTTGCTTTTAAAAATACAGCCTCCTATTAAAAAGACATGTTGTAATCTGGTGTATATATACATATGCACCTTCAAACTGACATTTTTTCAAACTACATTTTCCCTTCTGATTTCTTTGTTTTTTTTTTTTATTTTATTTTAAAGATTTATCTTTATTTATTTATACAAGCACTGGGTACAGTCAGAAGCACAGGAGGGTGAGAGAATTCACCAGAGCCAGAGCGGGGAGCAGAGCAGGCAGAAGGACCGAAGTACACTGCTGAGGGGAGCAGCGGGTGGCAGGAGAGGTCTGCGTGCCATGTGGGACCCTCCTCCGGTGGCCGGGGAGCAGCCGGGGATTGAACTGGTGCTACAGAGGCCGCAGGCAGCTTTGCAACCCAGCGCTCAACCGCTGCGCCACCAGGGAGGCCCTGATTTCTTTTTTTTTTTTTAAAGATTTTTATTTATTCATGCATTCAAGAACTGGGGTACAGGTCAGATATGTGGGAGGGTGAGAAGATTCACCAGAGACAGGGGGGAACAGAACAGGTGAATTGACTGAAATACACTGCTGAGGGAAGCAGCAGCGAGACAGGAGAGGTCTGCTGCACCATGTGGGTAGCTCCCTGGCCGGGGATCGAACTTGTGCTGCAGTGGCTGCCACAAGCTTCATAGGTTGCGTCTTAACCCCGTGCACCACTAAGGAGGCCCTCAACTTTTCTTAAGACCAATATGGTTTCGAGTTACTCTCAGAATAGAGCCAAGCACATTTGTTAAATTTGATAGCAATTTGCTGTTCAAGGCAACACGTAAATAATGAGTCCTTTGGTAAGAAGTATATTCCTTGGAATCAATACACTGCTCATTTAATCAGAGGCATCGCTTACCAAACACTCGGGCTACAAATCCTAGTGGAAACTGAGAGGCAAACAATGTGAGGAACCAGGGGGCAGCATAGAGACTGGGGCTGATTTCATTTTCTTCAAGATGATTGTAGAGCTCTCTGTGATAGTCGTGAAGAAGCCGGGACAGCTGATACATTTGAATCTGAAGTGAATTTAGAGCAGAAAAATAAAATAGTATGAATTTAATATTCTGACTGTGCATAAAATACAATCATTTTAATTTTATTACACTAATATAACAACTTCACCTATATTCAGTAAAAAGTGAAAGCAGTATTTTTATTACCTGTTCAAGTTGATGTCAAAGCACAAGTTCACCAAACTGAGCTCTTAAAGTAAGTCACCAAAACCGCATCTGTGTCTGCTGAGCAAATGTCTCGTGTGTGTTTTGGATCATGTAAATTGATGGAAACAATACTTTTCCTAAAGCATTCCTTTTGGAATTCAATCAGAACTGTCCTGGCTTGGGACTCTTTTTCTACTTTCAGGCCAATTCAGAAAAGCATCCATTCTAAAGAAATCCACCATGTTCAGTTCCGAAGTAGAGCTTACTACTATCTGCAGCACCCGATTGATGAGGGAACTAAAGCTCAGTCCCGCCAGCCGCTCTGAGTGGACAGGACACTGAAAGATTTAGTGTTATCAAGCCAAAATGTTGACGTGTGGTTCCTAACACCCACAGTATTCCAGCCTGACCCAGTTTCCATGATACAGAGGATTAAAGCAAAAGACAGTCATTTCCGAATATACCTAGTATTAAAATAAAAGTATTATTTCACTTGGCTACTGAAGTTGACCGTCCTTCAAAGAAAATTATAAAGACAGCATGCAGTATCTTTTAAACCCTTGTGTCTGTAATAAGCACAGATAAAGCAGAGCAAATAATAAACACATTTGTGGGACACATTGTGGAAAAGAATTAAATTTTTATTTGCACAGTAACAGGTCGAGTGGTGATTCCTTGATTAGTTATATCGACTTAACATCTTTGTGTGAAATGTATACAACATCTTATTAAATCTAGCAGAACTTCTTTCACCAGAAGAAATCATTAAAATAGCATCCTTAAGTAGTTCTATAAAAGCATATGGAAAAAAAAAACAACCCTGAATTTGACAACTGTCATTTCCTGGGCACAAAACTAAATACCTCCAACCCCTTTGGAAATAAATGAAAAAGCACTGTAAATAAATACAATAAATTATTTGTTTGACCATAACCTTAATATCTATCTTTGGAAAATAAGGTTCTAAAAAGAAAGAACTAAAGACCCACAGGAAGTCCTATCTCTGAAATAAAAAGTTTAGCTGTAGTCAAACATAAAGATTTAAAAAAACAAGATTGTTATCTCAGTAATTCATTTTGGAAAAAAAAAAAAACCAATTCCCTTAGGCCATTTACAATTTAGAAACTAAGCAGAAACTAATCAGGGCTGTATCAATAAAAGAATGAGATATTAGTTGCATGAAAGTCAAAGAAGTCTAATTAGCAGAATAAAAAAGTAGATCATCAAAAATATTTTGTTCTTGTGATGGTTACAGAGAAGTAATAGTTCTTTTTTTTCTACATTCTAAACTAGGGGTTGAGAATGAATGTTCCACTAAGGTATATTTATATGAAGTTTCTTTTGAAAAAAATCAAAGAAAAACACAATTACTTGGTCTTCCATAAAAAGAGATTTAATATTAAAATGCCATTCACTAAGAATAAATAATTCATTTCATTCTCTCTTCAGATAACATGACAATCTTCAGATGGAGGAGGCAGAATTAGAGGGGAGACCTAGAGAGAGAGAGAAGCAGCCTGGGGGAGAGATATAAGAAATGTGGAGGTGAAATAATTTGAGGTGAAAAGACAATGCTTTCACACCAACACAGAAAACAGACACAAGACAAGATGAGACTTAGTTCAAAGAGGCCTCAACCCTCCTTTTACAGATAAAGTATGAGGCAGAGAGCCTGCAGCATCAGGCTCAGACAGCAACACGGGGATCAGAAATACTAGCAAGTGATTGTCAAGTCCCCTGCTGTTTCCACTTGTGAAAGTTACAGTGATTACATAAAAACTCCCTGCCCTAGAAAGTAGTAAAGTGTTCTATTTCACCTTAGAGAGCAAAAAGATCTACTCTCTTACCATAAGGGGAGCCCTATGACCAATAAGAAACCTGCTACCAAATATTTTCAAACATTTCATTTTCATAATTCTAGACATAAATACTTCTTAGTAATTGCAGGTCATATTAAATTAATGTCTGGGACCTCCCTGGTGGTGCAAGGGGTTGGGTGCAGCTCTGTGAAGCTGCCTGCAGCCTCTACAGCTAAGTTCGATCCCTGGCAGGCCAGGGAGCTACCCACATGGTGCGGCAGACCTCTCCTGACTTGCCTGCTACTACTCTCAGCAGGGTATTTCAGTCAATCTGCCTGTTCTGTTTCCTGCTCTGTCTCTGGTGAATCCTCTCACCACCCACACCTCTGGCCTGTTCCCTGTTCTTAATAATAATAATAATAATAATAATTAATGTCTGGATCTAGTTTATTATGTGAGTTTTTACAAAATCAAATTGATGAGAAAATTTTAGATGGAATTGAACACTGTATTTTTAAAATGATAAGCTGGATCCATTTGTAGACCAAAACCAACTATAACTCAGAGGTAGTCTCCTTTCTTTGAAATTCTAATGATAGCTATCAAACTGCTATTTTTGGAAATCAGAGCTATTTAGTTCCTTACAAGAATACCAGAGCTTCCTATCCAACATAAAATATAGGAAAACTTCTTAGAAATAAAAAATTGAAAAATTCTATAGGCATTATTTGATTTGCGGGATGTTAACAGGCCTGTGAAGAGACATCAAGTAACATTCAAATCATGACATTTAAATATTCACATGAACACACTTCATATGAAAGCCCAACATGGAGAGTGAAGTTCTATCTCCCTTGTGAAAATTTCATCTTGAATAAAGAAAAATGGACTACTTTCTTTCCACTCAGCCTCTCAAGAAAAAAAATTTACTAAAATATTCACAAGGAGAAATCACAGTCCATTTTTGCCTATACACTTGTAACCAAAATATTACATGTGAATACTGATTTTAGGAAACCAGAAAAAAGGACATATCTTAAAAGATATTTTGTTCCTTTTTTAGAGCATAATATTATGGGCAAGGCGCTATTCCTAATTCATGTCAAAGGAGTAAGCCCTGACATTCTCTTTTTAGTCTTCCTTTACATGTTTCCTACCAAAAGCTTTAAACTGCAAGGTTGTGATTGTTTGAGACAGTGTGTCTACAGATAAAGTAGAAACCGCTTGCTAGAATCCAATACAGCAAAGAAAATGTAATTAAATTAGAGAGGAGAAAAGTGAAAATAAGGGATTTACAAAAGACTGAAGAAAGCAGTGGCAGCAAAAATCTCATTTAAATAACTAAAAACTCTTTAAGGTGCTTTTTCCTAGTTTGCTCAGAGAAGCAGAAACTATGCCTGACTGGGAACTCTCCTCTCCAAGCACCTCTCTGACATTAAAAGAGGAGAGACATGGTAAGACCAAGAACCATGACATAGACAGCTGGTATCTGTGCACTCAAAGTAAAAGAAGAAAGACGTTATCATATTTTCAGATTTTGAACAAAAGATCGGTCAATCTTTTTTGCTGACGAGTTGAGGAAAAGTGACTAAAGATGATTAATTCAATACTTTCTCCATGTAATTCACAGGTTTAGGGGCTAGAGATCCCCTTTCTAGAACTGTTTATTCACTTCATGAAATTTATGGGTAAATTATTCTGCCTAGAGATGTTATACACTTAGAGGTTTATAAAGCAAGGAACTAAAACATAGCCTTGTATTTACCCAAGCTAGAAGGGGTTCACATTTCTTGAAATCAACTGTATTTCTGGTAACCACTCTCTGAGTTCCTGGTAGAGAACTCAGGTCTCACCTGTAGGGACATCATGTCGGGTCTGTACTGCTTGCGGAAGCCGAGATCGTACATGAGGAATTTCAGCATCTCAAAGGCTTGCTCCTCACTCATGTGCAACAGTAGGACTCCGGCCACGAAGCTGATCCCCTGACAGTAACCCACTTCTTTGTCCAGTAAAGAATAGGCTTTCAAGAGGTTAAAGAGGGACAGCTGCCCCGCCCCAAGCTGTGCTGAGAAGTAAGGGTGAGTCGGAAATGTCCTTCCTGCAGAGGAAAAGAAAAGCTGAATTTCTGAGATGTCCTGAGGTCTGGCCCACCAGAGTGAGACTGAACTTCAGTAACTCCCAGGAATAAAGCACTTTTTGCTATACCAGCGCAAGTTGCTTAGAGTACCCTTCTAACGAAAAGTCACTCTAGCAAGTTCTACCTCCCAGACCATCAGCTATCTCCAGATCTATAACAGGGGGACATTTAATGCTAAACAGAACTTCTTTCTAGAAAAATAATATCGCACAAGCAAGTCAAGGACATATCCAGCAGAGAGCCCAGGAGAATATAACATACAATTGATTCTGACTATAAATCAAGGCACTTTCTATGTTCACATAAAGACACCCTCCATCTGAAATCAGAATTCTGTAAGAGGAATCATATTATTTGAAAGGAAATCTCTGTAGTACACAAATAAATTTATAAGAAAAAGTTTCTAGAGAAACTTTGGGGGTTGCTTTGTTTTACATTCAGCCTATCATTCAGGAAATTCCTTGTTTTAAATATTTTTTTTATGTTTCTTAAACTATCTCTTCTTTTTTTCCCAATACCCACAAAGGACAAGCAAAGTAAAGGATCAAGCTAATTTCAAATCAATTTTTTCTAAAATTCACCTCTGAGTTTAAAAATACCAAGGCCAAAGTCAGTCCTGGGTCTCTGAAGCTGGTGCAAGTACTGAAACAAATCCACTGCACCATGGAAGCTGCACATGGGCACAGGGCTTTCCATGTGCCACGAAAATGAAATGGGACATTGGCTTCCTTGTGAAATGATTTGTCAGGTCACTAAGAACTTGCAAGAGTGCTGGAATTTTAAATACTTTCCACCCATTTGCCAAAAAGTGGTATTTTCCAGGAACTGGTCACACTTAATTCTGCAGCATTAGTAGGGGGAAGACAGAAGCAAGTAACAAGAAAATGCCAAGAAAACATAAATGGAGTCAAATAAGTAGAGTAAAATAATCAATTTTTAAAATGCCGTTTTATTTCCTCACTTCAAATTTTTGCTGTAAATATACTGTCTATCTAAGTTAGTTCTAACTCCCTTTTCTCCTGACCAATATTTCCCTGTCATCTGCTCTTTATTAGGGCCTCTTGCCCAGCCCAATCCTAATCTCATCAGCCATTGCCAATCACAGAATATAGGTGTGAAGGGATGCATAGAGAATGCCTAATTCAACATACAAGTTTTAAAAGAGAGGTTTGAGACTCAGAGCAAAATAGTTTACCTAAAATCACATTTCAGTGCTAGAAATAGGACAAGAACTGAAGTTTTCAGTTTCTCTGTAAAATTCTCCTTTCAATTCTATTTGGCTCAAAAAAATATTAACTGCATTGGGCTCTTTCCCATCAAAAGTGTGTCATCCAAAAGAAACAGAGGTCAAAAGTAGGTATGGGTGAATGAGTTTTATATGCACTAAATAAGTTGATACCAACTATAAGGCCATTCCTTGTTTTCACAAATGGGTGCAAATGCTATATGTATAGCAACCTTAAACATATAAACTTGTAGGGATATAGAAGAGTCACTTGTCAATTTATAATACTGAACTGAGTAATTTACAGTTTAAAATAGTAATACACATGACATGTTAATTTAGAGAAAAACTACAGTTGTTATAATTTTTACTCTTTTAATACTATTTTTCCTTTCCATGTGTTCTTTGAAATCCAGTTTTTATTTTTTTTTTTTTTAGATCCAGTCTTTAAAAGGTAGCTTTCACTGATAAAAATTGGCATTACTACTGTAAAAAAAATTAAAATGATGCTGGCCTGGAAATCCTCCCCATGTTACAAGTATCTATTCACATAACATTATAGAAGCTCATGCTTCTTTCATTTAATGGGATGCACTTGTGATTTCCACAACATAATCATTTACCGTGTTGCTTTTTAAAGTGACATATCTAAAGGTTTATTTTCAGCAATATGTCTAGGAATAATGAGTAGACCTTTGTTAAACTCTCTGATATCCCTTTAGGCTAGTCTGACCTATTTTAAAATCAGTGTGGATTTAGATAATAATTATCTACCCCAAACAAAAGTCAGCTGTTCAAAAAATAGGAATTGAGAGCACCCAATAATATGACCTTTGGAATGATTCAAACAGAAGATGACTCCCTTTTCAGAGGGCATGTTCTGGGATGAGTTTTGCTTGATACTTTACAAGCTCCGTGGTTCACTCAGCAGATACAAAGCCACTTGCCCTCAGGAAAGGACAGTCGGTAGTTCTGCATAGATTAACAAATCCTTTCAATACCACAAAGCAAATAAAAAACTCAATGAAAAAAATCTGTTATGTTTGTAAATAATAATCAATATGACAAATATACCTAAATCCACAAGAATAGCATGCTGCTGGGCGGTGAGCTGCTTCAAAAGCTCTTTATAAGATGTGTCAGGAGGCTGCTGTTTATTAGGCAATCTGTGCCGCAGACGATATTGTAAAGCTAGGAACTGCCAGATTTCTCCTCTTCGACTTTTAGGAACACCTATAATCAAGAGATAAAAAAACAATCAAACTACCAAGATCTTGAACTCTTGAATGAGGTTGCTAGGTCACACTTGATTAGCTATGGCACGCTTCAGAATAAGCAGCCACACTGTCCCTCATGCACCCTAGGCCCTCAAGTTCAGTCCTGCAGCTGCTGATGTCTTGCCCACGAAAACCCTGCTATAAAAATGACAATAATAACGATATAGCCACAGCAGCTAACACTAATTGAGCACCTGCTATGACATGAGGGAGTGAGATGAAAACAGGATGGAAAAGGAGGGAGCTGGGAGAGGGAGAAAGATAGGAAGGAGACATGTAGGCAGGGCCTGAACATTCCACGCAAAAACAGCCTGGACTGTACCAGGAGCTACAATGGGGGACTGTGTGATATAAGATAGGAAGAGGCACAAAATGAGATGGAGGAAGGGAAGATCACGGAGAGCTTCTGGCACAGCGCTCAGAAATTTAAACTGTATCCTACAAAAAAGGGGAGGATAAAAAAACCCTTAAAAGTCCTACCAAAGAACAATGTGATCTATATCTCACTCACATCCTATTAAAACCACCATTTTTTCCCCAAGTAATGAATTCAGTGAGAATCTTTAGGATTCTGAATCTTCAAGTAAAAAAGAATATGAGGGCCTCCCTGGTGGCGCACTGGTTGAGAGCTGGGTTGCGAAGCTGCCCACAGCTTCTGCAGCGCCAGTTCAATCCCTGGCCTCCGGCGAGAGTCCCACATGGCACAGAGCCTCCCCTGCCGTGCCCGCTGCTCCCCTCAGCAGTGTACTTCATCAGTCTGCCTGTTCTGCAACTCACTCTGGCTCTGGTGAATTCTCCCACCCTCCCGCACTTCTGACTGTACCCAGTGCTTGTATAAATAAATAAATGAATCTTTTAAAAAAAAAGAATATGAGGCTTATAAGTTAGCATCTTACAAAATTTCTCAACGTAAATGGAGCTATGTCACAGTTTTACACATTTTGATACATTTTTAAAGTAGTCATCAGGTTGTTTTGGGTATTTTTTGTTTTTTATTTTATACCTGTTTATACTCACTTTAGTATATTTAATCTGGGTCACAAAAATTGCACCTAAAATATTCAGATAGTTTTCATTTTAAATTTAACATAAAATTTACATGGCAAAGCACCAATGTAATAAAATGAATAAATAAAAGCAATTCTCCCAAAATAAACAGAGGAATATATAAAAGGGAGGAAAACTGATTAACTGATTAATAAGAATACAAATCTGTATGTATAAACATACACATAGTTGACTACACACATACATATAATATACATATGTAAATAAACATTTATGAAGAAATATGGGAAGGTGTCAAGTTCACAAGTCTGAATTGTTTCTACAGACATAACTAAAGAGCTGTATCAAGGCATATGCTCCACCCAGGTCAGCACAGAGCTGAAAATAATAGGATGAAGTCAGTAGGAAAGTCTGTATGTAGAAAAGGTATCTTTCTCTTAAGGACAATATCTTCATCATTAACACCATGTCCTTACCAACCAGATCACTAACTACAGGCAGAAACAAATTACTGTCCCTTTTTCACAGGAAAAGCATAAAGACAAATTTAAGCCCAAGCTGCACAAATCAAAAAATCTCTCGAGTTTTTCTTAAAAGATTATTGAGATGATCCATAATACCTTCTTTAAGGCAGGTATAAATATCTTCCATGTCACATCTGATTTTAGCTCTGCAGTTCAGCAATTTCTTATCCCAGGTAATTAAAATCTCCTTCTGGCATACACCAACTTCTTCATAGTCCAACTTAACTTTTCTAGACTGCAGTTCATCTCTGCTTGCTAAAAAAAAAAGAGAGAATTCATATATGACTGATACATTTTAAAAACATAGTATTTTAAATAATTTCTTGTAAAACCATAACAAATGACTTCTAGGAGTCGACTACAAATTTTTTCTTAAAAAAATAAATGTGAGGGCATGTATACGTTTCTCAAATTTTGAGTCACTTCAAGAAAGAAAATATCAGGAATAAACTTCATAAGGAGGCTTTATACTTTCAGATGGTAACTTTGCTAAGCATAAAAAAAAGCATATTTACTGTGCTATAAAATTCAACTCTTTGACAAAGGTGATAGTCTAGGAAATCACAGCTTGCATTATTTTCAAGATATCAGTACTTTATAAATGATATTTATGAGAAAGTAATGCCTCATGCTAACCTTGATTCAGAAAATATATGACCAGGAGTTGATACATTTTTATAACTATTTCCAGTATTATCAACACTGCCCTTAAAGGTACTAGGTTTTATGTTCCTGTTTCCTTTTTAATCACCTTAAAGAGGAAAATTCATTTTGCTGAAGTTAATATTTATTTTTATTTAAAAACTGGAAGTTTTTAAGCCCAGAGCAATTAGAAGGAATGTCTACAAAAGCAACCAGTCTCTTGACTTGGTTTTCATCTTGAATAATTGATTCCAAAAGACCTCTCCTGACTCATCCGCTGCTCCCCTCATGTATTCATTCTCTTTTTGTTAGGTCTGCTTTGGACAGGATCTTCTAGGAGTAATGTGTATTCATGCAAGCTCAAGGTCCTGCTAAGCCGCCTTACCTTCTGCAACACAAATCTTTGTCATGCATCCAAAGTCCTCGACAGCACAAAAACAATAGCAGAAGGAGTATTACTCTTTACTTAATGTGTTCAGAAGCCATTTCAAAAGAATTAATTTATCATATTAGAGACTGCTATTTCAGTAGGGCAGTAAAAATCTCTAAAAGCCCACACATAATCAAAAGAGAAGGCGTACAAAAAAAAAAATTCCTCTTGGATACCACTAGATGGCTTTCTAATACCATTGAGCTTTGCTTCTCAATAATTGCTTTAAATCTACATGATAGATAAATAATTTTTTTAAAGGAGTGGGTTCATTAAAAGTAATAATAAATATAGTCCTACATATAAATTTACCAATGATTTTTCAGAATGGAAAAAGCATAGTATTTCCTCAGATTTTTTTCTTCTCCAAACTGCTCTAGATGATTATTCATTTAAATAATAATAAGCAGGCCTCCCTGGTGGTGCAGGGGTTAAGACGTAACTACAGCATGAGTTCTATTCCTGGCCAGGGAGCTACCCACATGGCACAACAGACCTCTCCTGAATCATCTGCTGCTCCCCTCAGGAGTGGATTTCAGTCAAACTGCCCTTTCTGTTACCCACTCTGTCTCTGGTGAATCCTTTCACCACCCCCCACCCCACACACACCTCTGGCCTGTACCCCAGTTCTTGTATGCATAAACAAATCAATATTTAAAAAAATAAATAATAAGCACCTCTTATGTGCCAGTCACAGGCCCTGAGGATTAAAACGCAAAGAGCAGTTAATGTCTGCCTTCAACTGGAAAGCTAGACAAGAGTATGGAGCATCCAGAAATGATTACCCATTGGTTAGAATTTAATGGGTTAAAGTATATTTTGTTTTTGTTACTTCAGTACAGAAATATAGAATGGATAAGATTTTCTGATCATATAAACATTACCTTCTTTCTTATCTTGTGAGTTTATATAGTACAGCTGATTTCAGAATACACATATAGTCCTTTATGTTAAAATGTTTCCTTTCCTGTCTTAACACACGTAGTTGAGAAATACTATACCATTCTGGCAAAAGCCCAAGAACCATGATAAATAAACCTGAGTTTTAGTACTCAGCCTGCCCGTTCTCACTACTTGACATTATGTTAGTTAATTCCTTAGCCTCTCCCAGCCAGTCACTAAGCTGCAAAATGAAGAATGGAACTAAATAATCTCCAAGGCCATTTCCATTTCAAATAGCCTAGGATTCCAAAACTATCTCTTGATATTTAATATGATTCTACTTTGTGCATATTCCCAACTTAATGAAATATAATTTCATGTTTTAAATGTGTTAAAGGAATAAGCACCCTTTTCTCAACCTCTTTTTTCTGTTTATGATTTAGTTCAAGATGCAACTAATTGCTTAAAAATATGAATTCCATTGCTCTCAAAATCTATGAAAGCTCAAGTGGGCATGTCATTTATCACACCACATTTTAAAAGCTGTGTCAATAGTAATTAAGTCTGTTTTTATTTTTAATTTTAAAGAAAAGAATATGTCTTGCCTTGGGATATTTAGTATCAGTACTTCTCATTTTGCTAGAGAAAGCAATAAAGAAAGTAAGCTATACCCTTGCAAACTGAATATTGATTGACTTAAAAACTGAGTTGAGTAATAGGTACAGTAAGAGGAAATCTTAAGATAGATGATGAACAAAGAAATGTGAATACCTTTCTCAAAAAAGCTTTCTGGAAGACAATAGCATAAAAGCTAGTCAGAGAAAAACCTAGATTGTACATTTTCCAATAATTTTAAAAGTTAAAGAGCCCACTGAAGCTATATTGTTCATTTTACAAATGTAAAAAACAGGTCCTTTTAGTTTAAATGATTTGGCCAATATAATGGCATTCATAAATTTTTCTGGTTTTGATACATCGCCCTGTGTGTGGTTCTAACCACTAGAGTAAAAAATATTATTCTTTCAAAGTCTCGAAAACATATTCTTAAGTATTTGGTATTCTTAACTTAGCAATAAAGTACCACAAACCACACATTGACTATCATAAATTATCTCAATTATAAATTTAATAATTTTAATATGATTTTTAAAGAGAAAATTTGTAAAGCAGTAACAAAAAAGGAACTTTGATTGGATAAGTAATTAGGTAGTTGATGAAGTACAATATAGGCAAACGTCTTTTGAAACATTCAAAACTGTTATTATGAATATAATTAGCCAGAAAATTATTCATATTCAAAGAGAATTTGCTTTCTAATATTTAAGATTTTTTAAAAAAAGTAATCTGTAATGATATTAAACTTCAGTCATATCAAATACACTTACTCCATATTATCTACATTCATTATTACCCAAGCTTACTCTAAAGGTACTGATGTTTTAAATCTATTAAACAAAAATGCCATCTCTTAAATTGACCTCTACCCTGTCGTAAATACCTCACAAAATAGAAATAAGCAGCATAAGCAGTAAATATTCTAGCAAAGGTGTGTTAAAGCCTGAAAATGGGAGTGAGCTGAGGAGGACAGCGAGTTTAAACCTGTTTTAAACCTTTAAAATATAGCACGTTATCATTTAGCCCTGTTTAAATGGCTAACCTTCAAGTTTCTGGTTTTCTTTTTCCATTCGAAGCAACAAGATTTGTTGGTGTATAGCTTTTCTCCACAAACTCCTCAGTTCTTCTGACTTTTTTCTTTCTTCTACCATTTCTGGATCATCTGCACCAGCCATGAATATAACCAGCGGTTCCTCCTCCATGGTTGGGGCAAGAGGGGACAGTGGCAGCAGCTCATTGCTGTCCAGTCCATCTGCAGAGAAGAAAACAGTGAGAGGCATTCCTGGGAGTAACCCAGACTACAGAAGTTGTCTCTGGAATGGGCAGTGTCTCCTATATTCCACCTTTAAAGCTTTTCACCACAAAGGCACTTTGCTAGTAATTGTTCGTTTCTGGAACTAATGATTGAAGTAAATTTACTAGGCTGAATTCCCCTTCGAGATTTCCCTGTCATAGTGAAATTAAAGCTTATGTAATTTCACCACTTCTTCTTTCTGCACCAAAGACCAATAAAATGGTGCTCCAAAATGAACCGGCCTTTCCCCAGAGTCCTTCACTTCTGCAATCTATCTATGGATGTTCTCTGATGACAAAACAAAGGGGTGTGTGTGTAGGTATGAGGTCTAAGGTCCGATCTGCTCCCAGAATCCCTCCAGCAGCCCAGCAGAGCTGGGTGTGTCTTGGCTGAGATCTCTGTTCACTCCTCCAACACTCTCTTACCCAGTTCCTGAAGCTTATTTTTTCCCCTTCACTCCAGGCCATCTTTTGCACTGTTGCCAGTTATTTTCCTATTAACAGACATGATCACTCTCTTAAGTCATTTCAATGGTTACCTACACCCCCAAAAGTAAAATCCAAACTACTGAGAAGGGCAGGTGGGTCCCATTAGACTCTGGCTTCAATCTTCCATTCTCTGCCCCCTTTGTGCTGAATTTTTCATTATTCTCTGAGCTGGAATGTTCTCTCAAATGACTCTAGAGCTTTGCTATGTTTCTGAAACATGTTTCTCCTAGCAATTAGTTTAAATAAATACTTAATGTTTTGGTAAAGCTTTCTCTACACACTAGAAAGTTAATTTTATCTTTGGCAATGTCAATTACTTTTTAAATAATTGACCTGCCCTTACCCTATGATTTATTTTCCCCTTTTTTTTTTTTTTTTGTGGGACCCTCGTCGGTGGCCAGGGATCGAACTGGCACTGCAGAGGCTGCGGGCAGCCTCGCAACCCAGTGCTCAACTGCTGCGCCACCAGGGGAGGCCCTGATTTATTTTCTTAATAAATAATTTTTTAAAATGTATTTTGTGGCTCCATCAAGAGTTTCTTGAATTGAAGACTTAGTATATTTGAGCTCTGGCTTTCTTTATTTTAGAAATGACCTCTGAATACTACTGAATTTTGGTAGGTAGCTCCAATCATCCTACTTTCTTTCCTTTAGTTGCTAGGAGTACATCTTTCATTTTCCAAGCACATGAAATTTCATTGTTGTCCTCTAGTTCTTGATTTTCCTTCACCCGCCCCTCATCTCATTTTTTCTGGCACTATAATCAGAAAATATTGTATAAATATTTTATCATGATTGTCTGAAATTCTTTTAAAATTTTTTGTAGCCAAGAACATAATTAATTTTGATGACTATTCCATGTGTGCTAAAAAATGAATGAATTGTCCCTAAAGGAGGCAAGGTTCCACACAAATATTAGATTAAGCTTGTGTTTCTTGAATATCACATATATTTAATTTCTTAATATTTAAATCTCAGAGAAGGCTACATTAAAATCTCCCGCAAGAGCTATTGATTTATCTCTCTCCCAAATTCTGTTATTTTCTGGTCCTATTTGTGTTTTCAACATTGTTTTATCTTTCTGTTTATTGTTTACATTGACTTTGTTATTTGGGGGTGTTCTTGCCTTAATTTCTAATAGATCTAACATTCAAAGAGAGCTGCCTGTATGTAATCTCTTCTGATTGATATCTACTTAGTGTGTCTGTATCCACTTCTTTATTATTCAACATTTCTGTGTCACTTTATGTGTGATACTTGTAAAAGAGTATGTTGTTTTTCTAATTAAAAAAAAGTTTGACTTCTTTTCTAGTAATTTCCTAGATCCTTAGGCACTATGGGCCCCAAAACAGGTGTTGAAAATGTACTCTCTCATGCATTCTTTCATTCGACAAGCATTTACGGTATATTTCATGTGTTCTAATGACACCTCAAAGTTAACCAGTATATCAGATATAGAAAAACAAGAGTTTACTGCAATCACTTCAAACCATTTGCACACAAAACCCGGTATTCCGTCCCCTAATTTACAACCCTAGTGAGGAGCAGCTCTTTACTGAGGACCACACAGACCCTGCTGTTGCATGGCTGAAGGAGACTTGTTCAAGGGAGAGGCAACCCTGAGGAAAATGCGCTGCCGCCAGGAGATTCGACGAGGAGTCACGGGGGTTCCTCCAAAGTTCAGGGATTCATTGCTGCAAGTGGATGAGGTCCTTTTTCTTCCCTCTCCATCACTGTAAAGCAAATAGATATATATATATCTTGTAAGGAGAACTGCAGAGAGTGGTTCTTCACATGAAGCAGTAGTGCAAGCCGCCTACAAGTCCCACACGGGGCAAGCACAAGCCACAGGCAACACGGAGCGATGGGCCCAGGCGCACTGCTCACCCAGGTTACTGCGTCCTGGGGAAAAATGCAGTCAAGGCCACAGCCCAGTCATGAGAAGCTCACCTGTTTCTACTCATCCCACAGTAGCCAACCATTCCAAATGGAAACTCGGGAATGTCACAACTTATAAAGGAAGCAATGGTTTCTCAAGTAAAGAACTCATGCTTTGCTAAAAATAGATCAAATTGATAGTATACTCTGGACAATGTAAATGTTCCATAAAAGGCTCCTAGAGAACTCTATGGACAGCCCTTATAAGACAGGCTGATACAGATAGCTTTGAACTTCCTGTGACTGTTATCTCAGAAATATTAGCTACCAATACTTGGATCATGGCAGAAAGTCACCTGAATAAAGGCAGAATGGTCAACCTTGGCATTATTATGAGGTGACAGGGTAAGGGAAAAACTGTAGTCAAGTAAGACTGGATTGACTCGCTTAAAAAGTTAAACATTTCATTATAGAAGGGCTTCTTAGGGATGGTAATATGCTGACAGGAAGTGTGACTCTACAAGAGGGTAACAGTATCTAGAATCCCCTGACTTAGTTAAATTTATGTGAAGACCAGTTATGCTAGCAGCTGGAACACCTACAATAATCGGTAGTGGTGGTAGGAATGTTTTACTATTTTAAGTTTCCAAGTCTTTGAGCTTTCCTGAGAAAATGATGAAGACAGCAATATTGACAGATGGTGACACCAACAAGTGAAGGTGCAAGACTTTTGATGGAGTAAAGAAGTGTCAGCACTTAGGTTAGAAATGAAACCCAGTTAGGAAAGCCACAACCTGGCTCACATACTCAGAGGAGCACTAGAGCTGAGACCGTGGAGAGTCGAGGGAGCAACTCAACACCTGCCTGTGGTATTTCTATTTACTCTCTATATCTACACTCACAGTGATTAAGACAGACCTCTGAGCTGCTGTTCAGACAGAGAAGTCACAATGTACTATATACTTCAGAAAAGAGCTGGCCCTTACCTATAGCTCAGTATAGTCAACCCCCCTTTGTTAATCCTCTTGGATAAAAATTATAATCCTAATATGTGCACACATTGCAGAACTCTCTGCAACACCGGGTAAGTATGTTCCCCTCAACTCCCACTTTGGCAAGCATGAAATCATGTATTTTCATTTTACAAGCTGTGATTCAAATGTTCTCTAAATAATAGTCATACCTGATGTCATTTTGAAGAGGTGTGGGTTTTGGTGAGCGGGGGTCCTTGGGTTACCTCTGAGAAAAGTTTCACCAGAGTTCCCCTTTCAGTGGCATGCATTGAGTTTCCCCACCGCGAGGCAAAGAGTTTTGGTTATATCTAAAAGGGCAGGTTTATTACATTAAAAAGAAGAAAGGAGAAGAAGATGCTTGCACAGACACAAGCTGGCAAGAAGAGCTGCCATTGCCGTTTTGCAAAGGGAAAAATGTTTGTGAAAAGAAACACCTGCAGAGTCACGGGTGGGCAGGAGAGCTGCATTAGGCCAGTGTAGAAACTGTACTGATTCAGTGTTCATTTGGAGAGGGGCTCCTTTCTTCCTGGAATTGTTATCTGTTGTTATGTTACTTCTATGGTGTGACTAGGTTGATTTGTAAGGACCTGTGATTTTCTATAATAATGTCCAATCTGTGCCTTCAAATACATTCTGTAACAGCCTCAGGATACTTCTGTAGTCATCTACTCGCTATAGCAGTTGGCACCTAAGGAGTTTTCATTTCTACAGCTGGTTTAAAAACTATGTTCAACATTTCTACCCCCAACTCCAGTTTCTGGTGCTGTGACACCTTCATCTAAATTTTCTACTCTTAGCCTCCATCAATAGCCTCATAAACATTCTTGAAGTACCCTGTTTCTTTGTTTTTGTAACACTATTTGCTTAATGCCTAGTTTATGGGGATATTTCTAGCTCCTAATTTTGTACCTGACTAGTAATAGGAAGCACTCAACAAACATTTACTGAGTAAATTAGGATTGTAGAACCTTAGGGCTCCTAAGGTTAAGTAAAACGGACAAAACACAATGTTAGCTATGCTAGCCTGTCAGGAATAAACAAAATATCTACCATTTTAAGCCCTGTGTCAGCAGTCACAAGTTCAGAGATTTTCTGGCAAAAAGCTCTAATGATTCTGCTTGCCAAAGCCCAGAAGGAGGTGTGCTGTTGTATGGGTAAGCATAACAATGACAACACTCTCAATAAACAACAGAACGCATCTTTTCCAAAGGTGTGTCTATCCTTTCTTATGTAAAAGCATCTAATTGATAACATAAGCCTAGAAAATTGAACAAAATACTTATGGAAGGCAATTTGCACCTGTTACAATGCCTCACAGGGTGAGTGCTCAACAAATAGCAATTTCTCCTAACTTTTCAGTAGCTCTAACAATCAAAACTAGGATAAACCAAACCAAAGGACTCCCAAACTTTTATATTTTAATGGCAGAATTAAAATATCATTAAATATCATTTTCTAATTCACAGCTAGTGACATTTCAAGAGTTTAGATAGCACTAAAAATAAAACTGAGAAGTACCCACATCAGTTTCTTTACTGGCCTTAAAATTTACACTTTTGGGAGAACATGTTATAAAACTGGTGCATAAATTACCTTTACATTAATTTAATATCACATATTTAAAATTCCATAACACCTAGAATTTTAAATTATACAGTCTACATAAATCGCCAAGTAACACATTTTTCTTCTATGTCTGGAATTTAATGGCCAATAATAAGCCAAAAATTTGCAGTAAGAATATAAGATAATAATATACTGAGAGGAAGAACTTACCTAACAGACCACTGACCCTTTATCTTGTACTAAAAAAATGGCATCCAGGGCCTCCCTGGCAGCGCAGGGGTTAAAGTCTCACTGCTATCATGTTATCACCAGCCACTGAGACAGGAGTTTGATCCCCAGCCAGGGAGGTGACCCACAAGGTGAAGCAGACCCCTCCAGTCTTGCCTGATACTCCCCTCAGAAGTGTATTTCAATAGATCCACCAATTCTGCTCTCCACTCTCCTAGTGAATCCTCTCAACCTCCCTTACCTCTGACATCCTGAAAAAGCAGTCTGGTGGTGGAGATAAGACACAAGTTGCTCTGCTTTTTTAATAAAAGAAGATATGTATTCAGATGCCAGGGCCCTGATAAGATTTTCAACATCCTGAGCATAGAGGCAACATATAGCAGATTATTTTTTGCTTTATACTTAGTAGCAATCTGACATTTCTAAGGTGGTCATTTCAAGAATCAAAACCATTTGAAATACTTTTGTGCCACAAAATTCTTCTGTCTCCCCTTGGAAGTTATACTGGGATAAATGAATAAAAAATTTTTATTACTGTTTTATCTTTTAGGTTTCTTTTTTACTATGACGTTAAATTTCACTTTAACTGCTCCTTCAATTGCACTTAGCAGGAAGGCAAGTGCAATGTCCACTTTTCAAATGAAAATATAAACAAAACAACATGTGTTACTTACTATAATAATAACAATAATAAAGCTAAGACAAAGAAGCATACATGCCAGGCTTTGTTCTAAAAACTTTACAGGTAAGAACTCACAGTAACTTCCTAATAACTTTGTGGAGTAGCTATTATTACTATTCCCATTTTCAGTGAGAAAACTGAGGTAGAAATAAGTCAAGTAACTGGCTCACAGTTCCACCACTAATAAGGAGAGGAGTTAGGATTCAAACACAGGCAGCTCAGAATCCAGATACTTAGGTACTGTGGCTTATGAGGCAGTGTAAATATTCTGCATGAGGTCAAATTGCTACTGAGAGCCTCAAAATCAAAGCTTTTAGGATTTCCAAGATCACATGTATTAATGGTAAAAAAAAAAAAATCAGTCTCTATTTAGCACTAAATCTACTTCTTTCATTTCTTAATGGAATAATGTCATTTACTTCAGCAAAGAAATGACTTCAAAGTATTATTAGGTATTCATTGATGCAAATGTCTCCTTCCCTTTGCTTTTGAAATTGTTGCATTCCAAAATATACATACTACTTTATATTTAATTAGAAGGATCAAATTTTAAAAGTTCATGTTGTGGAGTAGACATATATCTTTACTTTTTTAAATGATGAAACAAATTAGAACCATTCCCTTTTTTCTTATAATCTTTTTCTTCCTTATTTGTATTTGGAATGAATGGCAGTAATATACATTAGAAAACTGCTTTTTAAGACACCTAGTTAGCATTGCCTCTACTGAAAATTTACAAAATTGAAAATGAATAACTAGGAATAACTAGAAAGGAAGTGCATTGTGGAGAACTCTCCAATGAGGAGAAGTCACACCTATTTTTCTATTGATATATCCCTATATACTTCTTATTTCCAGTCACTGATTAACCAAAAACCACAATCCATGAACACAAATGAGGGCTTTATAATGGAAGGAAATAGACCATATTATGTGTATCACATATAATATGTGTCCTACTGGACAATGCATTGATCCAAAGCAATGGACAAGCTATTAACCCATATAAACAAAGCTTCAAGATAACTTGTTTAATTTATCCTTGACCAAGTATTTATAGCCTAAACTTATCAACTACTAAATTAATATTAATCTTTTTATGTTAACACAGAATATTTAATGCAAACTTGCCTGCTTTAATAAAAGTTACATTGTACATAATGAAAGTATTTTAATGACCACTTGCAGATTCACACTTTGCCTTTGCTGCAGTTGTTTTATTTCCCACCAAATAGATAGACTTTTCACAAAGGTAAACTCTTCTGCCAGAACCCTTTTACAAAGTACTAAGCAGCAGCCTACTTCCTCAGCCTCCAGCCCCCTAGCTCCTATCAAAAATTTACTAGTATTGGACTCCCTGGTGGCA